TGAGATAGTTTACAAAGATCCCTACATACATGAATTAACTAGAATCACTTAATGAATAATCCTTCCTTTTTTTTGATGTGAGACACTTTATTAATGTTATTTTTATAGCACTATACCATTAGAGTATTTGGACATGTTATATATCACTTATAATTATTAGTTTTTGTTTTCAAACTTTAAGTGAACCTATATATCAATTTGGGATTATTTGTCATCTTTCTAAGGATATGGTATATTTTTAGGTTTTTTTCTTTCTGTAGCTCACAGAATTGTGATTATAATAAATGAAACATCTTGTCTTTTACATTATCTAATTAGATATTGATGGATCTATAATAATGATCTCTGTAATCACAATTTTTACCTACATAATAATTTTCTCTTACATTGCCTAGCTAGATGGTGCCAGGAAGATAATAATAAAAATAATAATTTATACATTCATTGGCCTTGAAGTTACTAAGCCACTATCTTCTTTAATTTTCAAATAATCTGAGGTAGTGGACATTATGGTTTCCATTTTACAAATTAGGCCACTGAAACAGATTTCAAGTAACTTCTCTGAATTTGCAACTTCTAAGTGATAGATCCAAGTCTCTCTGACCTCTGACTTCAAAGTCTGTGCTCTTTATCACAAAACTTTGAAATACAAACCTATTAAATTATATATTTTTTACTTATATTCTGATCGACTAAACTTCAGGATTTAAGGTACATTTTAAATTACAAATTTCAAATCAGCATTCTTTATTCCCTATTGCAAACTCCTCAATAAATCCTCTATTGAATTTCAAAGAATACTCCAGAAACAAGAACTCTCAAGCGACTGTCAGTAGAATTTGTCAAGAGAAGATTAGAAAGGTTCTATTAATATTTTTGCATATATTTGTGTTCTTAGCACTAACCTTGTGATTTAAAAATTACATTTCCTTCTTACACTTGCAATTTCTTTTTAAAAATATCTAGACAATTCCAGAAATTCCCACTTAATTTCACTGTATACACTAGACAACAAGTATAATGACATAGTATTAACATCCAGCACTAGAACTTTATTTCTTTACTCACATCAGCTATGAACTATGTCTTTTCTTTCTTCATTTGGCTGTGTAAATAAGTGCTTCCCAAGGAAAATATCACCATCTTCCATATAAAAAACTGAATACTCTTTGGGAGATGGAATCCACTCTGGTCTACTGTAATCACAATTAAAAGGGTCTGAATCACTATGGCAATAAAGGGATTGATCTCAAGCCCTAAGGCATAGCATCTCATGTTTAGAGTAGCTGCAATCTGAACCCATATCTTTATGGAAACATTTAACCCACCCTGAACATCAAATAACCAGTATAGCATGCTCAGAAGCTATTTTTGCAACTCCTAAGATGTGGGGTCTCTCTTTCACAGCTGAGAGCATCCCCAAAGCATCCTGTATTCTCCCAAGCCAGCGCCTATTATTCTGTAGGTCTGGGGTAGGGACTGAGATTCCAAGTGTTTCACAGTGATTCTAATATTGCTTATTCATGGGCCCGACTTTCAGAAGCAAGACTTAGGCCAAAAACATTCCAGCTGACTTTAAATCAATCACTGTAAAAGCAATCATGACTTCCTTAATATTTTAATAGGCTTTAGTGCTCCATTATATAGTAAAGATTTGGGTGTGAGGTTTTGTAATTCTAAAGAATTTGTTTGTCATTTAAAAATTTTTTTACAGCATGTAATGAAAAAAACCTGCCAGCAGCATCAGTAAAAAAGATCATTCAAAATTAACAGTCCTTCAAGTCTTGGAAACATTGCACAAAAAAAATATGAAATGGACATTATCTCAGCTCACTAAAATGATGGATATTTCTGAAGGGGGTCTTTCCTCATAGTAGAATGGACTGCTACCTTTCAATATTCAATTAACCCTGCATCCTTGATCACTGACTTTTGTGGAAGACCTTTGCTGGATATTGCATGAGAGAATATACTCTTGTCACAATGGCATAAAAGTATGAAAATAAAGGCACAGAGGAATATCATAGTCATAACATTTAAGTACAAATAAGATAGATCTGAGGAAGATGCTAATAGTTGTGCCAGCATGGAAGTTGATGTATAGAGATACCTCCTGCAGTAACCAGTTATTCTTCAATAACCACTAACCACACCATATATGGTGACCATCCCATAGAAGAACTCAGCAGTTGGCACGGCTCTGGCTTTGTAACCAAGAAGAAACAGTAGTCTGTTGATCATGAAGCGAACTCCATAAGATCATATCTGGTTTGTAGCAACTCCAGGAAGTTTGTCCTGGGGAGGGTCTAATTTGTGATCTCTGTCTGTGGTGGTCAGATCTTTATCTCGTTGCGGTAAATAGGGAGGGAAAATGGATATAAATGTGTCATACAGAAAAATCTGGATAGGTAAGAGGATTGAACGGCAGAGGATAGAAATCCAGGTGTGGCTTAGTAAACTCCATGCTTGGTCAAGCTTTCCAGTCTAGTGTACTGAATTTTTTTTTCTGAAATTGGTGCCAGTTTTCTCTCTTCACTTCAACTTCTGACTCTTCCTGTTACCAATGGTTGCAAAAATCCATCCTGTCCTCTTAGCCTCTTTGATTCTCCTTCCTTCAGTGAGATAATCATTTTAAATTCTTTATTTGCATGTATAATACTTTACAATAAACCCATGGTGACATTTTCTTAATAATGATTTTTTTCGACTATAGAAGATAGTCTGAAATAATAATAATGATTTTTTTTCCTACTATAGAAGAATGGAGATGGGAAATTCTGAATAGGTAGAATTATAGAAGGCAAAAATACAATTAGCTATAATTGTTATTCTAAAACAACCACTATTCTTGTCTTTTCTTTGCTCATCCAACCCACTAGCCCTTTCTGTTGGTGAAGAATATCCTAGGGTGGTAGTTGATGATAGTAAGGTTGGTTCTGCATTTTTTAGTAAGCCTTGGTGGAAGGTTTTAAAGTCTTACTTATTTTTGGCTGTGTAGAGAATTGTCTGTACTTTGGTGAGTAACCAAAATACTGGGGCAACAGAAAAAGCCCCACTCAGCATTTCAGTTAGCATGAAGTGGGAAGGGAAAGATTAGAGACACTTCTAAGTGTAGTAATGCTTCTCTCATTATTTGTATTATTTAATTTGCATTATCTGAAAAAAATCTTAATTCATCTAACTATTATGGTTTTCTTATATGTCTTGGGTAATTAGAGTATTACCAGTATTAGAGTCTACCTGACTCCTGTTCCCAATTATTAATTTTAGTGTTATAGATTAGACCAACTTGTCCTCTGTACCTGCTATCTGGCCCAGATACCATAATCTTAAGACCACTCTTGTCCTGTAACTAAAGCAAGTAGTTGACCACAATATGCTTGATGCAAAGAAACAGTTTGTTGATGCCAAATAGGACAAGGGGGATCTTACTTCCTGCTGTCTGATTTCTTTTGTGAATCTACAAAGCCAGGTCCTGTATTCTTACCTCAATATCCAATATAGTGAATGACATGGTAATTGATACTCAACTACCTCCTGGACTTGCCACTGGGATCTTTGTCCCTGAGATCTCTGGAAGAACATCATTCTGTGTTAGTTTCACTGAATTCTAAGCTAGATTGTGATCCTTCACTAGTTCCCCCCATCATTTCACTAAAACTTCTCTCAACAAAGATAACACCAACCAGAAATGGCAATATTTTAAAAAGCTGTGATAAAATATACAGAAAGTTCACTGTTTTAATGTGAAAGTGTGTAATTTAAAGTGTGTAATTTCATAGCAATAAGTATATTCAAAATATTATCTATTCGGAACTGCTGCCCATTTCCAGAACATTTTCATCATCCCAAAGAAAATTCTGTATCTACTTGTCAGTAACTCTGACGAGAGAGAGTGAACTCTCTCTCCAAACCCTGGTTACCTCTACTTTCAGTCTCTGTAAGTTTGCCTACTCTAGATATTTCACATAATATTAATATTTTTTCCCAAGTTTTACTCACCCCTGAAAACAATGATCATTGAATGTACAGACCTTTGAAGCGAGAAAATAAAGACCTAATAGTGAACTTAAGAAAAGTAGAGTATTTGAGCTTCCCATGACTACTACATTTATGATTTTTGCTATTTGTATTACTTATAGTATCAATTATTTCATTTTTTAGGTATAAGTAAACTTTACATTACCGGCAAGTGTCATTTACAAATAGAAGGAAACTGTTAAATGGATAGAATGAAAAAAATAGGGGTTACATGTTAGCCAGAAACTAATGCATGCAAAGAATATGTGCAAAAGGCTGCTCTTGTTGCTTTAAAATGATTAGTATTACTGAGATATTAAAGACTACCACCAGCTTGAGATTTTTCTCTCCCCTGAATTCAGAGAGTTTTAAAGGCGTTATTTAATATTACATCATGTAGACCATTAACATAATTTCAAGTAGCACTAGTATTAAGTGACCAACATTTTGGGCAGCACTATTTTGTAAATGTTTTACAGCTTTAGTCATAATACAGTTCCTTATGTAAGTAAGTCTCCACCCATTACTTACCCTGGTACATGCTAATACGTACATACAGGGAGTGAGAAGGAGCTTTAAATAACTTATTTATTTACTGTTTTGGAGTCATATTTCTGAAATTGTTTTCCTATTATTTACACAGAAAAAAATTTTCAGGTGCTGAGATCAATGAAGATCATTTTAATTTACCAAGGCATAAAAGATTATTTTTAAGGAAAAAAGAAAAAAATTATGTTAATTCCTCTTTATAATTCAGGATTTCAGTGATCTGAAAATATTGGGGGTAAAAAATCACCTGAGTACTAAAGCATGCATCATTTGAATGGATTGAAGTTCAAATCACAGCAAAGCAGCTTATTTTTCATCCATCACCATGGATACAAAAGGACAGCTGAAGTGCAGGCATCTGACATCACAAGCATGCCCAAACAGGCCCGGGAGGCAGGCGCAGCGCCACAAAGGACTCAAAGAAAGGCCAGGCTGGGAGGGGAGAAAGAGGCAGAGGGACAGGATGATTGTTAGGATGATGAATCAGACATTCAGTTGGGAGGATTAAATTTGAGGAGGCACGAGGCCAACGGAGAAGCTTGGAGACCCGCGGTTGTTTACACCGACCTTTTAATACCTCTAAGCCAGAAATAGAACCAGAGGGAGACAGAGAGAAGGTATAGCAAATCACTTGCTACTCAAACGGCAGTTTCAATAGTTACTTTTCCCTTCTTCGTATTCTATGTTTCAGCTTTCATTTCAATGTTCTAAAGCTTTGACCTGCCTGGCTCACCTAATAGCACAAATTAATACCCGAAGTAGCTGAAGATTCCAAAAAACAGCTTGAAAGAGTCAAAGGCACCAGTACCCACAGGACTATAGAGTGGTAAATGTTGAGAAAAATGGCTGTATTCGGTATTAAGTGCTTCTTCGTGAACAGACACGATTTTTTCCCCTTCCGTTTATTTAAATTTTTTAATTAACTTAAAATTGTTACTCTTACTAAAAGGCACTGCATCTACTCTGAGGCTGCTCCATTTTGTACACTGACCCGGACTCAGGAACTTCAGAGGCAGCTGGTCAAGTTTTAACAGTGGCCGCTACGGGGGAGCTACCGTTTGCAGCATTTGCTGATTTCTGTGGTGTAAATATTTTCACTATTTTCAACTTCTAACATAATGTCAGTGAGCTTGCAGATTTTCTGAAAATCTAAGAATTGGCGGGTACTAGTGAGCACTAACATATCCATGACTTCTATGCCAGCCCCGCACCAACTTGTGTCTGGGATTGAAGGCCCCACTGGCCTGTTTCCTCATCCGATGAGAGTTGGAGCTGGCCTTAAGCTTTGGTGGTTAGACTTCTGCATTGGTTTGTTCTGGTGTTTTGAGAGAGGATTCTTGGGGGCTACTTCTGAAAGCAGGTAATTGGGAGCTGTTGTGGTGTTAGAGATCTCCCTCCTGGCATTCACTTCAACTTTACAGGGCTGTTCTGACTCTTTCAATGAGTATTTGAGAATTCTGTATAAAGAGGCACTCTATGAAAAGAAACTTTTATTACTAAGAGAAAAAAAAAAAACAGAAAACCATGTGAATCTTAATGGCCCTCTTCCATTTATAAAAATTTATGATCATATGAAATTAAAGTGTGAGTCAAATATACTGCTATCTGTGGACAGTACTAGATCTACAATAGTACTTATTCTTTATAGGTTAAATATTCAACACTGGCTAGAATTGTTGACCATGCCTAAGTGGAATCATATCTACAGAATCATAGATATTTTAAAACAAGAAGGATCTTAGAAATAGCTTCCCCCAAAGGTTTTTACATATGCCTAAACTGTTCATCAGAGCCCCCTTCAGAAGATAACTGTGTGTGTGTGTGTATGTGTGTGCATGCACACACACATGCACGTATTAAACAGCAATCCACTTCTGCCCCCTCCCTGCTGCCATGCTCCCTCCAACAGAGAAGTCATCTCTTAGGATTTATGCTTCCCATGTTTTAAATATTGGGTTTCTGTATAAGATTTCTATTGAAGAAAGGCTTCTGTTGTGTACTTTGGGGCCAGGGATTGGAATAAAGGCAGGGGGCAGGAGAGGGGAATGGAAGTAAAGGCAACTGATTAATGCCATTTGCCTTGTTTATCAAGCCAGAAAGCAAACTTTAAGAATGATTTGTCCGGTATCCTACATTCAGGAGGAGGTAGATATATGTCTGGAATTCAGGTCGCTAAGTTTCCAGACCATTATTTCTCCTTTCAGAAGCTGGCTACCTGAAACCACTACTTCCTATTATGTGTCTCTAGGTAAATAATCTAACCCTGTACAGTCCAGTGGGGTAGCCACAACTCACATGTGACTACTTTATAATTATAATGTGGCTGGTCTGAATTGAGATATATTGTGTCTATAAAATACACACTAAGTAGCAAAGTCTTAGTTAAAAATAATGTGAGATATCTAATAATTTAGTCAATCTAAGAATTTAGTAATTCTTAAATGTTATTTACATATTGAAACAATACTTTGGATATTTTATAGGAAATAAAATATATTATAAAATTACTTTCACTTTTTAAAATGTATTTTAATGTCACTACTGGTCAATTTAAAATTATTTTAAATTTTATTTTTCTACTAGACATTATGGACTTAACCTCAGGGTCAGATTTAAAAGTGGAAACTAGCTGCCCTTCCTGTTTCTTAAGGTTGTTTTGAAATTAAATGAGGTAATCTTTGTAAAAATACTCCGTAAAATACTATACAAACATAGGATCACACTCCAAGGCATTTTAATACTTGATTGGTCACCTGTTGTTTAGTTGCTCTGTGAAAGGTGGTAAAAGTTTTGTGGAGTTTTTTCCTTTGTTGCTGTTTATATGTTGTTTTGGTACATGGGGATGGAGAAGTAGTAAAGTTATAGTGTTGGTACACAAACGTGATAATGAGCACATTCATTTATTCTTCTTACAGCCTCTGTGTGCTGAGTCTTTCAATTCATTAGCCTCAGTTCTGAGCCATATAGGTGGCAGATGCTACATACATGCAGTAGGGATCTCAGCATCCTACTGGGAAAGAACTTTACTGAGGTGAAGTGTCACACACAGCTGTCTCAATGAAGAGATGTTGGAGAAGGTAGTGTCTGACTGTAGCACTGTGACCGTTACTCAGATCCAGCTCAGCACAGTACTCTTGTGTTTATTTCATAAGACAAGAGAAATGAAGCAGTTTCACTAAATCATACTAAACATCTGGCCACAACATGTGTCTTCCTTCATCAGTTCAGGCTTCTATAACACAAATACCATGGATTGGGTGGTTTAAACAATAGAATTTCTCATTTACAGTTCTGAAGGCTAGAAAGTCCAAGATTAAGACACTGGCAGTTCTGGTGTCTGGTGAGGATCCACTTCTTGTTTTGCAGATGGCTACCATCTCATAGTATCCTCACATGGTAGAGAGCAGAGAGCTAGCTTTCTGGTTTCTTCTTATCTGAACGTTAATCTCATTCATGTGAGCTCTACCTTTATAAACTAATTTCCTCCTAATGGCGATTAGATTTTTAACCATCACTTTGGGGATTAGATTTTAAAATTAGGGATTAGATTTTAACATTAATTTGAGGGAACACATTCAGTCGGTAATAGCAAGTTATACTTCACTGGAATCTATCCAACAGAGAGTAACACATAAAGGGGCATTTCACTTCTATCTCTTAAACTTGGCTCTTGAATGCTAGATAAGTCAGGATGCTGTTGGGAAAATAAACACACACAGCTTAAACAGAAGCTATTTAATACAGGGATTTGATACACAGGTGTTGAAGACTAAAAGTTCACAAAGGACACACTGAGATAACCCAGATATCTGTAATCGCAGAAAATGGTTAACCTCCATGGCTAGGGAAACAAAAGAATAGAGATGGGGTCACCAGACTCTAGGAACTCAGAGGAAAAACTCCACAGTGCTGGTATCTATACCACTAGAGGATAACTCTAGGAAGCTTGGAATAGCAAAAGACATTGTAGACTAGAGCTAATGCTTCTGCCGGAATAACACTGGTAGGAACAAGGACATGACAACAGCACTTCATTCTCTTCAACTCCCACCTTACATACAACCTTTCTCTAGTGCACCCTTATGGCAGAACCTAACAATGAGTCAATCAGCAAAGATATTCAGGAAATGTAGTTTGTGACCCCAACACCACATAATGTAGAAAATGGGCTAGATCTGAGAAGCCATAGGCATATAATTGGCACTATTCAGATCAACTTTGGCACTGACATAGTGATGGAACTCAGTGAATTGATGACCACCATCAACGGAAACATCTGAGTTCTGAAGAGAAAGGGATGGATTCTCACATAACACAGAAGTGTCCCTGCTATCTTTTAAAGCAGGGATTGCCAGTGAAGGTAGACATGCTTATAAGCATGAGAAATTCTCTGGGAAGTCCAAAAATTTTTGGTGGGGAAGACTTTTGATAGTGGAAGTACTAGAAAGTGGAGGGGATCAAAATTTGGTTGATCTCATCTGTATTTACAGACTGGGAAATTTAGAGTTATATATGTTTGTCTTAAATGAACTTAAAAAACAAGAACTCCAGACTGGTAAACTTATTTGAATAAAATTATTATCACATTTGGGGACATCTATTAATCTGGTATTTCTTTTTTTTTTAAAAAAAGATATTTATATAAGCACTGGGGTAAAGGCCAGAGGCACGGGAGGGTGCGGGAATCCACCAGAGACAGAGCAGGGAGCAGAACAGGCAGAAGTATCAAAATATACTGCTGAGTAGAGCAGTGGGCAAGACAGGAGAGGTATGTTGTGCCGGGCTGGGCCGGAATCGAACCTGTGCCGTTAAAGCTGTGGACAGCTAGCTTCACAGCGCTGCTCTCAACCCACTGCACCACCAGGGAGGACCTAATCTGGTATTTCTTTTTCTGGTAACAACATTCCAGTTTTCTTTTGAAGAACCTTTTATCCACGGATTTTCTCTTTCAGCTTTTCTGGGAGAATGTGAAAACTCAGGTGACTTGCTCATATCCTTACTATATATTGCACCCCAGCAACCACTTAATAGTAGTTACTTCATGTTCAGGTATGAACCATCAGTTAATAACAGGATTTCTGCTGGACCAATCAGAAAAGAGATTTTCTTTTTCCAGTGAAAAAGAACTAGATATGAATAGTATGTTTGGAGATTGGTGTTCTACATGGCATGGAAAACCTGCCTGATAGGAAACCAGTGTATAGGAAAGTCCATCCAAGAAGTTAAAAAAAAGAAAATATATTTTAAATGACACTGAGTACTTGGATCCAATCAAACTTGGAGCCAGGCCTACATCTGTATTATTCTGTTATACAGGGCAATATATTTTGTGGGGTTTTTTTTTGTTTGTTTTTTATTAAAGCTTTTAAAATTAATTTTGATAAAGGAAACATCCTTTAACTACCACCTCAGTTAAGATATAGCTTATCACTCTAACAATCTCCTTATTCCCTTCCTGTCAATCCACAGTTGATGATTCTGATTTTTACCTTGATAGATTAACTTTGCCTGTTTTTGAGCTGATTATTAGTGCAAATATTATTAGTGCAAAATATATTCTTTTGTGTCTGACTTCTTTTGCACAACATAATGTCTTTAGAATTTATCCATGTTGATT